CCCCCACCCTTCCATAACAAAGTTCATTGAAATTGGCTGGGTAGCGTACTGGTGGTTGGATCGGATCATTATTTATCGAGAAGAGAACCGGTAGGTAGAGAGCTACATACCGTTCTGACTTCCTGAGATACTCTTCCCAAACGTTGTCCGTCTTGCTCGGGATTTGCTGTTTTTTTCCCCATCCAATCTGCTAGTACTACCAATAATTCACTGGATAGAGTAATCTCGATCGGGGTTGAAAACGTGAGAGCTGGATGGACTTGTTTCCATATAATATAATGCAATGTCCCTTCGGGTGGATTTCAATAGTTTCCACTCTCGGTAAACAAACAAAGTCCTGTAGTGTCTGTCCATGCATGGACTTGGCTATGGGCATTACGCCATTCATACTCGGGGAGCATCAAATACTAGGACGCAGCGCAAACAGTCCCATGACGGATTCTGGACCTCGAATGCTGCCACCGGTATCTGTGCCTAGCCCCAAATCCGGCCAGTCGTATCCCGCAACAGCAACAGCAACAGACGGGCCAGTCGAGCTTCCTCGAGGCGAAAGGTATCACAGTCCTAAGCAACCATCTGTATATAAGGCTGGGTTATGCTTTCTTCGACGACTTGAGCTTCTGACTTCATATATATACATGTCCGGAAATAGTCTCCAAGTGCGATGCGATGCAATGCAATGGATGTGGCATGCATTGCTGATAAAGTATGTATGGATCCCTCGTCCACGTGTAAGGTAGGTAGGTAGGTGGCGAAGATGTCGAGACATTTATTGCAATCAATCAATCAATCAATTCATTAAACAGTCGCATCGCATCGCAGCGCAGTGCCTCACATCAGTAATCAATCACCCAATTTGATCTCGGAACACTTGACTTTGATCTTGGAACATGAATGAGTAAGTACTTACTGTACATACATACATACATACATACATACATAACAAACGCGACCCCAAAAAAAGGCGATACGATACGATACGAAGCTGTCTGTCTGTCTGTCTGTCGTTGGCTGGAAAGAAAAGTGGTCCATTCTTTGCTTTGACTGTATGTATGTAAAATAAGAAGAATGTGGTGGCATTTTATTTCAGCGGAATGGCAGGAGAGAGAGAGAGAGAGTGAGTAGCGACGCAGGAAGGAAGATGGATGTCATCGTCGCCTGGCAATCACTCCTTCCTTTTGGCGTCTTGTCGTGTTGTACTACTTACTTGGCATTCTCCTGAGTTGCGAGTCCGACGAGGTGAGATTTACGTTCCCACCATGTATGTATGTATGTATGTATGTATGTATGTAGCCGTCTGTCTGTCTGTCTCAGTGCTTGGATTGATGGGAATTGGTCGTCGGTCCATCAAGAAGAGTGCGTCAGTAGTGGACAGACAGAGACCGAAGTTGAAAGCTAGGGTCGGTCTTCTGTGCCCCAAAAAGCATCAGACAACTAACTGGATTTTATTAGCATACAGCCAGCCTATCGGGTTTCATGCTCTCTCTGAACCGACTGTTGTTGCCTTGTGCGCAGGAACCGTTGTAGGAGGAGCAGTGATCGAGATTGGGTTGGCGTACGTGAATGTATTTCCTGGATGGAGACTATTGATTAAAACGGCCGTTGAGCTTCTTTATATTGATATCCATCTGCACTGCTTCTGCATCTCCGGGATCAACGCTTCTCTGCAAGCACCACCACCTCAAGTGGTTCCAACTTTCCTCCCTTTTCCTCCCTTTCCCCCCTTTTCAACTAGGTTACCTTCGCTGTGCTGTTGCTTCGAATAGCCGACAGTCTACCGCCAGGTGCACTATGCATAGATTGCGATCGCCATGATCCCCAATCACCACCAACGTACGAGCAAAATTGCTAATAGATATATATATATATATATATATATATAGTCAGTTGACAGTTATAGACTGACCAAAAGTCTTTGTTGCTGGAACTCAGTTGGTGGGATATCTTGGTGGAGAGACATGTGCCGAGTGTGGGTTAGTTTCTCGAAGGGAGTGTTGGAAACGTAACAATGGTGCTGTTAGTAGCGGTCGAGGTGGGATTGAGGGCATTTAAGGATGAGTTTGCGAGGGTGGTTTTATGTTCCGATGGTTGCGCGAGCACTGTTACCAGCAGTGTTGCTGCTACGGTGAGTGATTTAATTGAAAAAGACGTGCGCTTGTTCGTAGCTACGGCAGCTGCCTACACGTTGCCTTTCGTCAATAATTACCTCAATTCGTACAAGCATCTCGTCCATGAATGATCCTATATTAGATGTTGATATTCTTACTTACGCCCGGCACGATACGGTCCAACTCTTCCATCAGCTCATCAAACACCTTCTTCTGCAGCCGCTGGCCCTCCTCTCCAATCGCAAACGCACTCGGATCCCTCACTTCACAGCAGTCCATATACAAACCATGACTCTCCCTCCCCGCGGCCGCAGCCGTCATCAGCGTCCTCGAACCTACCTCGGAGGTCCTCCCCAGCAACGCCAGCGAAAACCCAACAAACCAGTTCAGCGGAAACGGGGCATGGCGAAAGAGGTCCGATCTGCAGAACCCGGGGTTCAGCGCATTGACGATGACGGGGTCGTGAGCTGCCATGCGGACGCCTAGTTCCCGCACGACCCAGACAGAGAGTAGCTTGGAGACGTTGTACCGATCCTCTGTCATTTTCTCTTTGAGCTTGAAGCAAGGGAAGATGGCGGCTTCGTTGCGCTCGGCGAAGCGCGCGAAGAGGTGCGCATCCGAGGAGACGACGACGACGCGTGGCTCGACGTTGAAGCGCGCTGCCGTGGTGCGCAATTTGGGCAGCAGGAGGAGTGCTAGCAAGAAGGTCGATACGACATTCACAGCAATGGTGCTCTCGAAGCCGCCTGCGTCATCCGCTTTGACGAATTCGCCAATCGCAATTCCGGCGTTCTCCATCACGACGTCGATTCTATCCAATTCCTTTTCCGCGCGTTGGCAGAAGTGCGTCACGCTCGAGAAACTGCAAAGGTCCAGGGGCCACACTTGGATGTCTGGTGTTGTTGTTTTGGAAGGTGATGAGGTTTGGGAGAGAGAAGATAGAATGTCCGAACGCGCTGCTTCGCCCTTTGATGTATCGCGACAGGCCAGGATGACAGTGCTGGCGCCTAGACGCGCGAAGTGCCGTGCTGATTCGAGACCGAGACCGGTGTTGGCGCCAGTTATGATGATGGTTTGCCCTGTGTAGGATGTGTTGGGGTAGGGCAGAGTGCGCCATTGGGTTGTTATGAATGTGTAGGGGTAGGATAGGGGGCTGGTTTGTGAGTTAGTATTCGGTGGGTTTGGTCATGGGGGTTATTGAGGGTGTGGATTGAGCTGACGAACATGCTGAAGTAGTTCGCGTCTGTTAGCCATGAGAACATGTGCCGGGTTGGTTGTGTGGTTTTGTCTGACATGATTGGTCTTTTGTCTTTGAGAAGGGGTAGAATTTGTGGTCGTCGAATCTATGCTATGGATTTGCTGGTCAATCCAGATATGTGTCGATGATGCTGTTGAAGTGAATGAAGTGTTGAGTTGAGGTGACGTCGGCATTAACGTTTTGGTTTAGAAGCATTGGGGTTCGAAACGCGCTAATTAATGGAATAACGGCCTCAGGTAATTACTGTGCGACGTGGATTTAGGATGTATGTATGTAGGATTGTTCCAAAAGGCAACGTTGATGATGCTTCTATTAATTAAGGACATGACATGTCTAGTCGTGGTATCCAGGATGGAGGAGGAAGGGTATTACATTTGCAAACTTCTCATATCTCTCTCTGTTCATGAAAGAAGGAACGTGACAAAAAAGAACTGTCTCTAGAATGAACGGTGCAACAAGAGCCAAAATATGTTTCTCTCTCTATGCACAAATCAATTAAAAGGTCTGTCTCTCTGAATGTCCACAGATGTTGTACAATTGTAGATCTCCGGTACACCAACCAATGTTGTCTAGCGCCACACTAACTAGATTTGGCTACACCGACCGACAGATCCATTTCCAAAAAAAGAAAAAAACCAAGACAGAACGAGCAGACAGGCAGGCCTTGGTTTCTTCTTCCTGTCTGTGTGGTTGGTTGTCTGTGTGTGTGGTGAGACAAATTCAAGGGCAAAAAAATGTCGCTTCTGTGGATCGAACACAGTACCTCCAGCTGGCATTCGTTGTGAACCCGAAGTTTGCAGTTGTTAAGCTGATTGCTTCAGGCTGGCGCTCTCCCAAGTGAGCTAAAGCGACTGGGAATTGATTTATGATATTTCCGGGATTTGCGTTGTATATAATAGCGAGCACTTGTAAGCTTGGAACGTTTGAACGATTGAACGTTGAGTGGAAGTGGAAGTGGGGGGGGGGTTCCTTTTTTTGAAGGCTGAGTGCACGTGCACGGTCACGGTCAGCCGTTGAGTCGTGGGGCATGGCATGCACGAACGAGCGGCAAGGTGGCCCGGCGGAGATTTACTGTGTATTAATAATATGTACTGTGGTACATGGGATAAGTATTGTACATGGCCTAAGCACTGCAGGGGTATGTAAGCCGGAGATAGAGATGCGCCTAAGTGTCTCTAGCGAATTAAATACATCTATTCCTATATAGTCTTGTATGTAATATAAGGTACCCCTTTCTAAAATTTGCTAGCGTGGCATTTTTCTATCCTTATTAACCAACTTTTTTTACCTTACTTCTTTAGCAACATGTCACTTTCTACCCTAACCTACTACCTTACCCGTGATCAACGCCTGCAGGTTAGAACTCTATTACTAGCAGGCTATTATCAAGATTTCATTGCCAACCTCCTTGGCATTACCCGCAGACAGGTTAGCTACGCAATTGCCAGTAATTACGTTACTCCTATAAGGCGACCTAGTAGACCTCTAAAGCTATTAAATAATTAGGTTAATAAGCTTATTTACTACGTACGGCAATTACGACAGACTTAGCAGATAAGCTACAGGGACCTTGCTACAGGGCCTTTTTAGGCATAGGGGGTAAATGCTAATACTATCCGTTATATACTTAAAAGGAGGGGATACGTACGCCGTATTGCCCTATCTAAGCCCCCTCTATTAGATTAAAACAAATAAATACGGCTTAATTAGGCAAGATTACACATTTACTAGAGGCCTAATTAGTAGTAGCAAATACTGTAGAGTAATAAGACCTGGGTTACTAGAGGTAGACATAGGCGGAGATGGGTAACAAGATTAGCTAGGGAGGCGCTTAATAATACCTGCCTTACTAATAAGGTCTGTAAGAAGCGTAGGTAGATATTCTAGGGTTGCTTTTTAGGTGTAACAAAGGGTCCTTTACTGTTTTAGGAGAAGGAGTAGAAGACTATTAATAAGGAGAGCTACTGTAAAAGGATAATCCCCCTTGTTAATAGGTAGATAAGGATTAATCCTTACCTTTAATTCATGCAGGATGGGGCGCCAGGGCACGCAGCTGCCTCTACTATTAAGGAGCTACGTAAAAGAGGCATTCACCCTATCTTTTAGCCTTCCTTTTTACCTAATTTAAACCCTATTAAGGCAGTGTAGAATAGGATAAAGGATTATATAGAGAAACACTACCTAGATCTGCCTTCTAGCAGGTAACGTACGTATAATTAACTACGTAAGATTGTACAGGAGGCTTAGGATAGTATTACTACAGAGGATCTACGGGAGCTTATTAATAGCATGCCTGCAAGGTGCCAAGCTGTAATTAATGCTAGAGGTAGTTACACTAAGTACTAAAAGTTGTATATAACTAGAGATAATACCGGGCTTATGTTATTTCACTCTATAAGTTAAACACCCCTGCAGTGCAAAGGCCATGTACAATACTTATCCCATGTACCACAGTACATACCTTTGTATTAATATTACCTAGGTATGTACTATTCCCGCATGCCCGACCTTGTGCTTGGTGTGTTTCTTCGCCTACGCCCCCCTGTGTACGTGATACGTGATGGGTTATTTGCTTCAGCCGGTGTAATGATGAATAGTCGCCCTGTGCTACTGTGTGTAAGCCGTACCTACCTTTGTACAAAGGTAGGGGGTACGCGAAGAGATTGATACCCTTTTGTATTAATATATATTCTCCTGGCTAAGTTGCAAAGGTTGACCACATGAGCAGAACCTCCTGACGATTGTCACTTATTGCACCCTTGTTTCAACGGTAACTTGATCCCCCTCGTCTACCTATAATACATGTACTTGTAGTATCCCCCTGGCCACAAGTCGCTTGTTCAAAGTCGCGCTGGTGAATTTGTATCTACATACGCTGCGGCGCGCTGCATCACTGACTGCACCGCTGCAACACCCGCACATCATGGCTGTCCAAACGAGCCCTCCGGAGGCAACTCCTACCAAGTTCTCGCGCTATCGTAGCGTCCGTCGCGCCCAAGCACAGCAAACACCAGCCCTCCAGTCGTTTGAAGCCCTACAGCAGACACCTCCTGTTCCCACGATACCTCTAGCTCCTGCAATGGAGCAGGAGCCTCTCAAAGACGCCATGATTAGCAGGAGCATGTCGCGCTACCATCGTCGGCCGATGACCGCGCACGCAAAGGTGGCGCCGTCCGGTCGATCACATACTGTTGATGTCCCTCCTCCGCTGCCAACCCTCCCCCAAGCCTCATCCTCGTCCACGGTCGCCCGCAGTCGCGCCGTGAGTTCACCACAGACTTTACGCGACTCGAACAATGTCCAATCTCGCCCTCCAAACACGTCCAAATCGCAATCAGAGGCTGCCGTGTCAGGCACAAGGAACACACGAGAGTCTTCTGATGTCGCCCTGGCCCAGGCCCAGGCCCAAGCAAAGCAGGCCTTGCACGATGAGACGGAACGACAGAGCCACATGCAAGAGACGATCAAAGCTGACAAGGCCCAAAGGCGCGCGCAATTGGAAGCTCAGGAGGCCGAGCATGCACGAAAACAAGAACACTTGCGCAGAGAAGCGGACGAAGTCGAGCGTCGTTTGAGGGCACAACGGGAGGTCCAACGGCAGGCCGAGGATGCGGAGCTGCTGCTGCGACGGAAGAAGAGCGACCAGGAACACGGGAAGAGATTACAAAAGGCAGAGAGTGCGAAGATGCTGCAGCACAGGGAGGAAGATGAGCACAAGGCGAGATACGAGCAAGCGGCGCGCAATGCACAAGCATCTCCACCACTGTTGTCGCCCAAGCACGGAGGAGGCTTTGGATTGTTCAGGCGGAGAAAGGAGGATGCGCCGGTTTCCCCTCCTGCGAATACCACTAGACCACCTGCAGAAAATCGAAACCGTGATCTGGACACGATCAAGGCCGGAGGAGGCGGGGCGGTGCTCGGTATAGATGCGCCAATTTCAGCGGTCAACGCTGGCGACAGGGTACGTGTGATATCTTCTTCCTAAAATGTCTGGAACTAATCAGTCCTCGTAGCGTGTCATGGTGTCGTGCAACGATTCCAACATCCTACTCCCTGTGACGCCAACAACAACACCTCTGATGCTTGTTAAATCGGCTGCGACCTGTCTGACAGAGCGTATCGACGTCCGGACTGCCGTTGTGCTCGAATCTTTCTCCAAGGTCGGCCTTCAACGACCATTGCGGAACTATGAACACGTGCGCGACGTGATGAACTCGTGGGACGACGACAAGCAAAATGATCTCGTCATTGTCGACTCTGTAGCTGGCAACATCAGCCAACAGGAACTGCTGGCCTCGAATGCTCCGAATGTGAAACCCGAGAGTATGGGATGCTACATTCATTACTCTTCCAAGCCGGGGAAATGGTCCAAACGTTACATCACTCTCCGTTCGGATGGACAGCTGGTCATGAGCAAGAGCGAAGGCTCGAAAGAGAAGGACCAAGAAAACTTATGCCATCTGTCAGATTTTGACATATATACTCCTACCTCGCGCAAATTGACCAAGGTCAAGCCGCCAAAGAAGATGTGCTATGCGGTCAAAAGCCAGCAAAAGTCGACAATGTTCATGGACGAATCACGCTTTGTTCACTTCTTCTGCACCAATGACCGGAATACCGCATCCTTGTTCTACAAAACTTTACATACTTGGCGCAGCTGGTATCTAAAGAACGTCATGGGGGAGGGAAGGGCGCAGTTCAAGAAGGCCGAGATAAAACCTGCAAACGTACACTCATCCTCTCGCAATGTGTCGAGTGGCACCGAGCACGGCGATGCAGCGGCTTACCACGCCCGGAACGCTTCGGTAGGATCGCATTACCAGTTAGGAACCTTCCAGCCGCTATTAGACTTTAGCGAGTTGACGGCAGAACCGAAGGAGGAGGAGGAGTGGCGACAACCAGGGGCTTTCCCGGATCACCAAGGTCTCGGAAAGGCGGCGGCTCGGGCCACGCATGCGAGAAAAATGTCAATACGGGCCAAAGGACCTCCACCGGTATATTATAATCTTGTAAAAGACATACCAGATAATCCGACTCCCCAGGATACCAACAGACAGAATTCTCTCACTCGCAGTGCCACGTCGCAAGAGGGCGATACTTTTGCGCCTACCGGATTGCTTGGAAGGAATTATTCGCAACGACAGCGCACGGTACAAGAGCGTGAGAAGAAGTCGACCGAGGCGTTCGTGGAAGGCCCCTCCTTGCTCAACAACATGAACTTGAATGGTCAACTTGCAGTCAATGAAACGAGTTTGGGTCGACAAACGTCAGTTCGCAGCAACTTCCATCGGCGCACGTCCAGCGACATACAGCGAAGTGCTTCGACGCGAGCCAAGCCGAAGCCATTGATTGACTTGACACCCCAATACCGCGAGCCGCCACAACACCGCAATAAAGGCAAAGGATTTGTACCCGAAGGAGGCGCTGGGCCGCTGGTGGAAAACGCTACCTGTATAACATTGGTCGAGGATGCCATCAAGGTACCTCCTTCTACCGACTGGCGCGCGCGACCAAGTACAGCACGCCCGAATCATGGGACTTATGGCACAGGAGGACATGAGCGAACGCGCTCATTGAAGGGTCGAGGCGAAGCTCTGGCCTTGTATGCGGTGAACAATCATGCTGGAGCCCCAGAAGACCATAGCAATGCTTTCACTGGAGGTGGCCTTGTCGCGCGGGCGGGTTTCCAGGGCCCTGCACTCGTTGGACACGGGGTCATGGACGGATCAAAGGCAAACGGCCCGATGATCAACTTGATGGAGAGCTCCGAGTTTCCCCAGGGCAGCTTGCTGGCTACTGTCGCAAAGGTGCAAGGGCCATCTGTTCCAGTTATCGATAGAGAGAAGTGACGG